ACCGGGAGAGAGGAGGAGCAGCAGGAGGAGCAGCAGCAGGATGTGACCCAGAGAGCTCCTTCCAGCACCTCACTCTCCCACCCAGAGGACAGGCTGCTTCAGAGCAGAGTCACTGCTGTAAGCAGGGTCCCACAGGCAGAGATCCAAGGCAGAGATCCAGGGTGATGGACATGGATTTATTACCCAGGAATGAGTGTGTGAAAGCTGGGTAAAAGTGCTGTGAATACAGGGAGAGAGGAGGAGGAGCAGCAGCAGCAGCAGCAGCAGGATGTGACCCGGAGAGCTCCTTCCAGCACCTCGCTCTCCCACCCAGAGGAGAGGCTGCTTCACAGCACTATGTATCCCGGGAAAGAAGCTTGAAACCTGTCCATTTCATCCACATTTGACTCAAGAAATGTACAGGAATCTGTCCATTTCATCCACATTTGACTCGTGAAATGTACAGCAGAGTCACTGCTGTAAGCAGGGTCCCACAGGCAGAGATCCAGGGTCATGCACATGGGTCAGAAAAAGTCTAAGTTAACTTTTGGAAGAACCAGAGAAAAGGGGTGAAAATGGAGAAATTGTATCCCAAAATAGTGTCTCTTAATGCGGGTAGAGTCCCCTGACAACTCTCCTTACATTCCTCCAGAGTCAGAAAAAGTCTAAGTTAACTTTTGGAAGAACCAGAGACAAGGGGTGAAAATGGAGAAATTCTATCCCAAAATAGTGTCTCTTAAGGCGGGTAGAGTATGGGGTGACGTATATGGACACTTGAGCACCAGCAAGACCTCCGCCTCCATAACCTTGTGCACCAGGCGAACCTGTGTACCCACACTTAAGCACTCCCCCACGGACTAAACCAAGAGGGAACACCGGTCAGAAGTGCGTGCCCCTGGTACACTGAATAAAAAATAATAATGGGGGCATGCCATTAAAACTGCTATGCATTGAGGATTTTAGTCCGAGATGAGTGCTTATCTGCGGGTATCTTGTGTCAGCTTCGTGGACCCTAATTTAAAAGGAAATGTCCATGATATTGACAAACGTATTTATATACAGAATGATGATTATTTTACCCTCAGACACATGCATAGAGCACCCCCAAGTGTTGAATGTGTGTAGGCACAGTTGGTAAAAGTTGTCCTGCCGGTGGCAGGGACTTTGCATTGGAAGTTGACATCACATTTCCATTGTGGTCCGCACAATGGAAATGTGATGTCAACTTCCAATGCAAAGTACATTTGAAGTCCATAAGGCAGACATTTTCCTTACTTAATGGAATGTATATCAGTGTATTAAAGTCAATACTTCATTTATTTAAACCAATATCTTTCTTGATTATTTGTACAGTATGACAAATAGAGTCTTTGTACCTGTGCTGAAGTTCACTGCTGTGAGGAGTCCAGTTCTGTCTCTCACTCTCTGGTCAAGCCTGTCTGCATCACCTGGACACTTTAAACAAACATATATATATGTAAAGTACAATGTGTACAAACAATATAACTTATTCTCTTCTGTTGAACATGTTGGATTGTGTATTGTCCGAGTCAGGGTCCTTTTTATTTTACTGTAACTTTGGAAGTTGTGTTACCAATGCTTACTGTTTATTTGATATCAATTTGGTAATGTAATTAATAAAAACAACAAGGTTTGGGTTCGTTCTTCAGATGACTGACGTGTAACCTCAATAATGAACTCCAGCTCAACCAACCATATTATAATATCTAAGTAATCATCTTGAAATATGACATTAATAATTGTAATATACACACATCTTATTGTGAGGTTGATTTCACATACACTACTTCGACGTTAGCTAAATAGAAAATAGCATGGATAATTTACAAAGGCTTTAAAAACACAGCAAGAGCCCAAGACAATTATAAAACTTGTCATTATTTCAGTACAGTTCAATTGGTTTTATTTTCATAAACGATTATCAACCGTTAGTGCCAAAGCAGTAGGCTATAATATATTCATTACTGCTATAGACTACAACCACTACTTGTTTAGCTAGCATAAACTCAACAAAGCTAGCGTTAGCTGGCTAACTGACGTTATTTTGCCGGTTCGACGTGACTATGGCTGTGACTGTGTGACTGACCCGAGCCTCGTTGGTCCGATAGCTCCGCCCCTTCGCTCCAACCCCCCTCCCTCCCCCCACATCTACAGTTGAAAATTACTGTTGCGACACATTTATCGCAAGAAGTGTAGCAAAAGTCAAGGCCGCAGATTCGTCAATTTATACTGCCACAGAGCAGATTCGTCAAGTTTTAATGATTGATTTGAGTGGTTGTTATAACCAAGTTGCAGTTGTAATGGAAAATATATTTAAAAAATATGTATTTTTCTGCAAGTGAACATTTCATCACTAAGTTAATTTTTTTCCTTCAAGCTACAAAACTTTTTTTTTTCTTCTGTGACTTCAAATTTGGTTCACAGTTACGTGGATATTTTATACAAGTGTAAATGTATGCACACAAGCTCAGATTTTATTTTTGCTCACATTAGGTTTTACATGCACTCGCATTTTGCAGCATATATACCTTCATAGGGAGAGACTAACAGCCAGCTGTTCGCCGGGGTGGCGGGCATCCGTTCAAACACACAGACGAGCTTGAAAACAAGGGGTGAGGAGAAGCCCGTTATATCGAATTCTTCAATAGATTATGTAGGAAATATTAGATTTGTGTGTTTGACGGCGGCCAGCGGATCCTGCAAATAGCTTTGCATTTAATGTTTGTCAAGCCCTTGGGTATATTTGCAGTTTCCCCGCTTGAAAGGGATGATACAGTCCATAGGAGGTTTGAACTGGGTTTCACTCATGACCACAACTTTGTTTCTTTTGAGTTCTTCTTTACTTTCGTTTTTGTTGTTGCAGTACAGCTTATGTAGTAAGGTTGTAAGGTAAAAAACCATAAATGAAAAATAAAAAATAATTACTGTAAATAAATGCACATGAAATAATAAATGCAAAAATACATTTACATCATACTTTTTAACACTTGTGAATATTGTTTTACTTTCTTAGTGTATTTTTATGAACGATGTTTTTAAACAGTTAACTTATGCAGTCTCATTAAAAATGCAAATATAATAGACTGAATTCTTAGCAGCATTCAAACCGTTTTTATCAATCTACATCTCTCAATAAACAAATCACATTCGTTTTTAAATCAACAATCATGTTGCTTTAGCTTGAGGACATCAAACAAACAAATGACACTGAACTAGAACGCACGTTCTAACAAGAACGGCAAGTTGTATGACTCTTAACTAAACACACAGTTCGTCTCTCAACGGCCGCCTCTCCAGCTTTTTATGGCTGCACCAGTGCTGCTTCTTTGACGTTTCTTCTGCTGGACGCACGCTTTTTAGTCTTCTTCTTCTTCTTCTTCTTCTTCTTCTTCTTCTTCTTCTTCTTCTTCTTCTTCTTCTTCTTCTTCTTCTTCTTCTTCGTCTTCTTCTTCTTCTTCTTCTTCTTCTTCTTCTTCTTCTTCTTCTTCTTCTTCTTCTTCTTCTTCTTCTTCTTCTTCTTCTCTTTAATGGCGAATCGCTTCCACTTGGAGCATATATCGCCACCTACTGTTGAGTTATTAAATGTTCATATTAAATCCTTGTCCTCAAACCAGTGCTTTTGAGGAATTTGAAGATCAGCTTGTTTGCTTCATTTCTTGATTTACTTTCATATATTGACTTGAAATCCATGTCCTTGACGTTGAGTTGTTCCAGTGCAGTTTTCAGAATGAGTCTTTGCCTTGTATATTCCGGGCAGCTAAAAAATACATGCTGTATTGTCTCTGGTTGTTGGCAACCATCACAATTGCCATTTGGATGTTTCCCAATCAGATGCAGTGATGAGTTTAATCCAGAGTGTCCCAATTGTATTCTGCTGTTAATGCTCTGTCCTCTTCTACTTCTCCCCCAAGTGCTTCCTGTTCCTACTTCCCCTTGTATCTGGTATAAATGTCTTCCTTTGATGTTACTGTCCCATAGTTTTTGCCATTGTTGCTTGATAACCACTTTTGTAACAGATTTGACTTCTGCTCTACTGATGGGTACCATAATATCAATCTGGTTTGCTTTCAAACCACATTTGTGCCAGTTGATCCACTACTTCATTCCCTCTAATACCCACATGCGCTGGAACCCACACAAATTGAACAACAATTCCCAGATGAACTAACCTAAACATCATGTAAAATGTCATGTAAAATATCCTGACGGCATTCTGAAGAGAAGTTGTTTATACTCTCCAGAGCTGCACTGGAGTCAGAGCAAATGACCACTCGCATTGGCTGTATTTCCTCTACCCACTGAAGTGCTAGTGAGATAGCCATCATCTCTACTGTAGGGAGAGTGGGGTAATTTGTGCCAAGGGGCAAGTAGTGCCACCCCTGTTATCTAGAAAACCATAGAAGAAGTTGGTCATGTGACCACATATTTTTGAAGAGGCATCCATTTCGATCATCCTGCAAAGAAGGGAGTCACATGGCTTGAGAGGTAAGCACATTTAAGTTAAAAAAACAATTTTTTGCCCTCCAAAGTAAAATGTCTATGATCAAGGTTTTTTGATTGCTGTGTTTGAACAATTTAGACAACTTTAAAAACAGTTCACACATGTTTTAGTGCTTTAGTAAGCTACGCCATGAGTCTATACAGTTAGCATGATGCTAGCTCAAAAAAGCTGGGGGATGCATTTTTTTCAAAATGGTGGGCTTGGGGTGATTTGTGCCAAAGGGCCTTATGATTATTTACTATATATTACTTTATTGTATTTTATTGTTATTGTACATTGTATTCTTACATTTGATCACTAAAACTATGTGACATTCTTAATTTTAGACCAAAATCCATCATGCCACGGGGCACAGCATCTCTAGAGGGTCTTCTGTCCTCTGACATTTACACACACAACCACATCCAAGTATGTTAAAACTGCTTTAAACGTCTCTGATCATCAGCACTACCTTTTATTTCATTTCAGGTACAGCTTCCCTCCACACATGATGTACAACATGGATGAAACTGGTGTGACGACAGTGCAGACACCCAAGCAGGTTGTCACAGAAAAAGGGAAGAAACAAGTGGGTTCAGTAACATCTGCTGAAAGAGGAGAGCTCGTCACTGTGGCCTGTGCAGTAAACGCCACTGGAAATGCAGTCCCACCCATGTTCATTTTCCCGCGTGTCCGCTTCAAGGACAGCCTCCTCAATGGATCACCAGCAGGTTCCATTGGTCATTGTACAAAGTCTGGATGGATGAATGAAGACGCCTTCCTCATCTTCCTGAAGCACTTCATCCGCCACACTAACTGCTCCACCGATCACCCAGTCCTGCTCATTCTGGACAACCATGAGTCTCACATCTCACTCAAGTCAGTGACAATTGCTAAAGAGAATGGGGTCATTATGCTCACCCTGCCACCTCATACCTCACACCGCTTGCAACCATTAGACAAAACTGTCTATGGACCACTCAAAACCTATTATAACCGAGCGATGGATGGGTGGATGCGATCACATCCTGGGCGAACCGTATCAATCTATGAGGTCTCGGAACTTGTGAAGCAAGCGTTCCTCTCTGCAATGTCACCAACAAACATAACCTCAGGGTTCAGAGCAACAGGCATAGGCCTATACCCTTTCAACAGGGACATCTTCCCGGAAGAAGACTATGCACCATCAATGGTGACAGACAGGGCAAATCCAGAAGATGAACCCAGTGCCACTGCTGACCTGCCTGGAGAAGAGCCCTCCACCAGTGCAGCTGCTCACCTGCCTGGAGAAGAGCCCTCCACCAGTGCAGCTGCTCACCTGCCTGGACCATCTCATGAGCCAACACATGTCACAGGTATTTAAAAAAAAAGTCTGGTAGGCCAATAGTGGCGGTGCGCATAGTGGCATGGCTCAGGCTTACCCTCCACCTGACCACGTAATCTTGTTGTTCCCTGTGTTCAATGACAATAAAGTTCCTTTCCTTTCCTTTCCTTTCCTTGAAGCAGATCCAGACCCAGGAGAGCCACCTGCCACTCTGACAAATCCCGAGCACTTATCAAGTGACAAATCTGGTTCTTCTGCTCACTTGGGTTATGTGTCTCCAGAAGTCATTCTTCCCTTGCCAAAAGCCACAGAAAGAAAAAAAAAATGTGTAAGAAAGAAAGTGAAAACAAGAATCGTGACCGACACACCTGAGAAGATGGAGTTGGAGAAGGCTCACAAAGAAAAAGAAGATAAAAAGGCTGAACAGGAAAAGAAAAAGAATGAAAGAGAGAAGAAAAGGGCTCTGAAAGCTGCAAATCAAACCAAACCAAGAAGAAAACAGCTGTGTACAGTAGCTCAGAAGAAAGCTCCACCACCAATGATGAGGCAGAAGATGGTCTGGAGAAGACACACAGCAGAGAAAAGGAACGGGCTGAGAAGAAGAAAAGGAGTGGAAATAAGAAGGGGGCTCTGAAAGGGTCAAAACCAACCAAGCCCAAAAGAAAGTGCTCTCCAGTAGCTCAGAAGAGAGTGACTTTCCGATTCCACTTAGCGATACCACTCATTATGAGAGTTCAGATGTCCAGAGTGATGATGATGATGGTGACAAGGATCTGTCTGCTGGTGACTTTGTCATTGTGAAGTTTGCAGGTAAAAAATCCAAATGCTATAACTATGTTGGATTGGTGGAGAATGTTGAAGGTGACGAGATCAGTGCAAAGTTTCTGAAGCAAAGTTATAAGAGGTCTGTTGATGGAAAGCCCATCTTCACATTTAGAGAGAATGATGAAGGAGTCATCCCTAGAGGTGATGTGCTCAAGAAACTACCCACACCACAAAAACTTGGTGGTACAGCCAGAAGGGAGTATAAATTCACATTCCCCTGCAGCATTGACAAGTGGGATGTTCAGTAGTAGGCCGAATCTGTGAAGAGATTCAGATGCAGATGATTTGCTGCTCATTTTTAAAGTGGCCTTTGATGTTGTTAAAACTTTAAATAAACATTAAATAAATAATTTTGTATTGAATGTGTCTTGCTTTTATATAGCATTATTGTTTGTGAGATTAAAATGATCTGTTTTACTTCAATTATCAATGGCACAATTTACCCCAGTGTATTGTCTCTAATGGCACAACTTACCCCGCACCGGGGGCAAGTTGTGCCACAAAACCACTTTTTTTTCTAAAGCTATATTTCTCAAACAGTTTATTTAAGATCCGAAGTGATTGTTCCCAGGGATGCACAACATCCTAAACTATATGTACATATTTTAGTTGGAGGCATTACTGTAATCCCCTTGCTTTAAAGGCACTTTAAGTAAAAATTGGCACTACTTACCCCACTCTCCCCTATATACTGCAATGTGATCACTCGTACGCTTTCCCACTTTTACTTTTAATTCAGGAACATGAAATGCACAACTAGTTAGACCATTTTCTGGATCTTTGGATCCATCAGTAAATATTTGTATAAACTGCCCATATTGTTCATGTAGAACAGTGTTCACATAAGCCTGTACATTGATTTTGTTTTTCATTGAATGTAACCGTTTCAATAGTGATACATCTACTATAGGTTGAGGTAGCAACCATGGTGGAACAGCTGATAACAACACCGTTGGACTAATATTCCATTATTTAACTTTGAATTCCTTACATATTTCCGAAACACAAACACTTTATTTTTTTATTTTGTTACTTTCCCAACTTGTTTGTACAGTTTGTTTGGTAGGGTGAGTATCTTTATGGCCCTGAAGATTTGCCCAGTAATGAACAATTAACTGTTTTCTCCTCAAAGAAATTGGTATTTCTCCGACCTCTACCTGAAGTGCAGACACTGGTGTAGATCTGACTGCCCCACAGCATGTGGAGCGCGTGCTTGTTCCTGGACTCTATCTAATTTTTGAAGAGAAGAATATGCAGCTGAACCATACACTATTAGTCCGTATTCTATGGCTGATCTTATTAACCTCTTATTTGAGATCCGCAAGCGCATTATTGTTCGACAAATACAAAATGGATTCACAAATGCCTGATCGAAAGTTGTAAATGTTAAAGAGATATTCACAGATCTTTTTTTATTTGTGAAAATATTTAGCGTATTTGCAGATCCGTTTTACACTTGCACATTTATTTGTGAGTTTGCAAATCTTTTAACCTCTTAAGCCCTGAGCCTGTTTTTAAGGTTTCAGGCTCGAAAATGCTATGCCCAAAACAAATGACTATAACTTAACTTCTAAAAGGGTTATATGAATAATTTATTTTAGAAAAGCAAGGTTACATCTGTGAGTTGGATTTAGAAGTGTCAGAATCAATATAGATATTTCTCAGTCAGAGTAAATTCAGATGGAACATAGTAAAAAAAGGTAAATTCTTACCCCCGCCTAAATAAAACCCATTACTTATAGTGAAAACTACCCTCGAATGATGGGATAGTAGACTAAAAGCTTTAGGAATCCAAAGTATAACATATAATAAGTACCCTCTATCAAGATTGAGGCAAAACAAGTTACATTTTACCTTTTTAGAGAGGTTTAGCTAAAAGTAGTCCAGGCGGACTGACCTTTGGGCACATTTTGGCACATTTGGATACCATCAGTGCCATTTGACCTTTTTCAGGTACCATACTGTACAAATAATTGTATTATCACTACAGGTAATCATTCCATCGAAATACAAGTGTTTTTAAAAAAACATTTTTTATTTTTAAATTACATTTATTTTGTATGTAAATTGTGTGTGTGTGTGTGTGTGTGTGTGTGTGTGTGTGTGTGGACTTTGCCACAGCCCTTACATGTTTATCACCCGACTAACACTTCTAGGAAGGTTTACTTACACAATAACAATTAGGAAACATAGGATACACTTGTCTCTTGTCTTGAGCAGATTTATTTCAAAAATAACACTAAAAAACGACACTAAAACCGAAATAACATCACAAGCATTTTTTTTGTAAATACTGGCAAAAAATAAAAAATGTACACAACCTGAATGTGTTTAGTGTTTTTGAATTGAGGCACCAGGCACTTAGTGCAGTAGATAGGTCTTCACCGTTGTGTTGCCAGCATCAGAGCACCTCCTGAGTGCGGTGGCATCTTCCCCATAATACTTGGGAATGCATACGAGTGATGATGGGGGGGGGGGGGGGGGGGGGGGGGGAAGGAAGTGGTGGTGGTGCTGCTGCAGGGACTTCACGACTGCACGTCGTAGCTCGGATGAGGCAGATGTTGATGGCTGTGATCCAGAAGCCATTTGATACTCGTCTTCCTCACTGTGAAAACAAATGTGGAAAAAGCAATTACTTTGATTACTTCACTGGATTATTCTTTCAAAAATGTAACTCAAATCAGAAATAATTCATCCATTTAGCGCGTGTGAAATAACAGTATACACATATATATATATATATATATATATATGTATACGGTTATTTCACACACGCTATAGTATATATATATATGAAATAACAGTATACACACATATATATATACATATATATATATATATATATATATAGGTGTGTGAAATAACAGTATACATATATATATATATATATACATATATATATATATATGTGTGTATACTGTATTTCATATATATATATACTATAGCGTGTGTGAAATAACCGTATACATATATATATGTGTATACTGTTATTTCACACACGCTATAGTATATATATATATATATATATATATATATGTATACTGTTATTTCACACAAGCTATAGTATATATATATATATATAGACTGATATACAATACAGCTTTATTTATAAACTGCTAATAGTCAATGTCTGTAGAACTACAAAACAGCATCAATTTGGCGTGTGTGGAATAACAGTATATATATGTACTGGGTTGATATACAATACAGCTTTATTTATATACTGCCGTGTTATAGTCACGAAATAAAATTAATCTATTTATACGTTCACCAACATGATGTTGCCATTGTTTTAGTTTCTCACGGAACGATAACACTACAACAACAAAGCGGCGTCCATTTTGTATTTTGCGAGTGTGGAATTACTATAGATTACACCAAATACACAACTAATAGATACAAACAGAGAGAGTACATACCTTTCCTGAAGTTCTTAATCAGGGTTTCCTGCTGTTGTCTCTGTTCGCTGTGTTCTCTGTTCGCTGTGTTATCTGTTCGCTGTGTTCTCTGTTCGCTGTGTTCTCTGTTCGCTGTGTTCGTTGCTGCTGTGCTGGAGCGGTTGTGCGGCTGCTTCTGCTACGTCTGTGCGTAAAGCAGCTGCTGCTGGCATTATTCATACTACGCAGGATCCTATCTCTGGAACCCATTGGTCGATTTGGGTGATTGACACCTTTTTTTAAACTTTGGAGCCAATAGAATCGAGGGGGGGTTAGTAAATCCCGCTTTACACTTACGTCAAGGAGAGAGAGGCTTGCGTAAACAGCATGTGAGAAAGCCTCAACCCCGGACTGCAAAACTTTATACCTACGATGCGGCCATGAATGTAATGATGGATTATCAGGAACAATTCTAAAGTGACTAAGAGACATTGGATTAACCTTGAGCAGCGTTTTTATTCCCTTGAACACGACTTTTTATCACAAAACAGCAACGGTAAGACATAATTATTGTTATGCTTTAGAACACTGTTGTTGTTTCTTGCTCTGTTTTGGCTTATATCTCAGTGAGTTTGTGTCCTACAGTGATGATACTTATATAAAAATAATCTGTGGAGTATCATCTTTCAGCTGATATGTAGTTTGTGCAGAACATATTAAGTTTTAAAGATCGTTTTTGCTTGTTAGCATCGGAAGTAGCATCAGCCTGTTTTCACTAAGGGCTAATGCTAACGCTTCTTGTGAGACTTGTGTTTTGTTTCGGTAAAAATGGCTCATATAGTCAGGTAGCTGAGTTTTTTCCCGTTATTTGAGTATAAGACATTCATAGGTTTTTAAATATTAAGAAGCCCCCAGATGCTGTCTCCTGCAGTGACGTGTTTTTCCGCCCGGTATCGGGGGGGCCGGGTTTAAGAGGTTAAGGCTGTGTATACGTTCCTCAAAGCAGCTTTATCAGCCCCCCACTTAGTGCCTGCCAAGCACCTCATAACATTTAAAACCCTTTTACATTTATCCACTACTTGATCAATGTGCGTACTCCATGTGACTCTCTCGTCCAACCATATTCCCAGACATTTAAATGTCTTCACTTTCTTTAGATCTTGTCCATAAAGTTTTAACCTAACCTCCTCACTTATCCTTTTCCTCGTAAAAAATTAAGTTTCAGTTTTTTCCACCGACAATCTAAACCCCCATGTCAGAGACCAGCTTTCAATTTCCGTATTGGCTTCCTGAATCTTAGCTACAATATATTTTACATTTCTGCCCCTTTTCCAAATAGCTCCATCATCTGCAAAAAGTGACTTACCAATATCAGATCCTACTTGTGTGTATATATCATTTATCATGATAGAAAACAAAAGAGGACTAATTA